TGTAAAAGCACTAAATCATATTTTTTTTTACAAATCCATCTCCTATTAATGGTTTCAATCTAATCTCAATGACTTCATCAGCATCAAATTGATATGTCAGATCACAAAACTTTGGACGGGGACTGTGTCATTAACAATGACTTGTTTATTCTCTGAGAAACAGCTCTGGACATGTAAAAATGACGATTTAGCGCTTTTACATGAAAATTGGGCTTCGGCCAGCCATATTGAATTGAATCACAAAAATCTTGTTGGTGCAAATGTATCTCTTGGTATACCATCTTTGCTCCGATCATAAAGTAACTTGACGTGCATATGTAAGACATTATGTATTTCGTCATGTAGGTTTGAATGAAATCCGTCAATGGGTGTCCGAGATATAGCTCCGGACGTACGTACGGACGGACGGAACGAACCCAAATTAATAGTCCCCGTTTTCGAACTTCGTCTGAACGGGGACTGATGAATCAATCTACGAAAATATTATTAAAAAACACAGAAACGAATACCAGTAATCATAATGTGTTTCTTCAAAAATAAAATAACACTGCCAGCGAACGTCGATTGAGTATATTACAGCGAGAGTGTAATCAAAGAATACCTGGACAATGTTGGAAAGCTTGAAATATAACCTCATTTTTTATAGCTACGTTTTGTTCTATCCGTTAACAATTCACCAATATCATGAACACAATACTTAATTTACATGTATATACAGTTTTATTTTCCAAGAAAAGATAACAAAACTCATGCAGTTTAAACAATTCAACCATTAAACACAGTGAAGAATATAGCTGCGGAAGTCAATGAAAGTGCATGAACGCAAATATTCTGTATTCGGTGAGCGAGTGACGCCGCACGCCAAACTCAGGCTGTATAAGTATCAGCACCTTATTTTGCTGATAGATCAGTACACTTTACCCCATTTTACGTATAATGGGGATTTGTGTAAAATGTCCATTTTCAGTTTCAGGGGGTTCAGCATTTTCCATTTAGGGGTGGGGACACCGTAGTTTGCTGTGAACGCTATTGGCGCTTCTGATGCTACTTTCTTGCGCATGATCTCGAAAGTGTGTCGCAGTGAAGCGTCCTTGTACGCCATCATCCTTTCACGGTTCGATCCACGTATAGGTCGCCTGATAGACGAGATAGATTCCGCTGTACTCCAATCGACGCTTTTGTTTTCATCCACGGTTTGATCAATGTCCAATGCTTCAAAGTTGTGAGAATCCGACTGCCGTGACGTCGCCGGACACACCTCTACGGAAGCCTTACTCGCATGTAGAGACGTATTGAACCCAATTACGTTTTTATGACCAACATGGTCTCGTAAGTGACTTTTGTGAAGCGGGGCGTACCTATCTGAGTGCCACGTGCAGTCTGGCACTCTGCATTTCCGTTTATGTTGTTCCATTAATTTAGTTTTCCATTTTAAAACTTTGGGACTCTCATAATCGTTTGCAGCTACGGATTCCGAATAATTATGAGACGGTGGCAGAAGAGCTTCAGCGCGCCCGTTTGTAGAATGACTGAAACATTTCTGCCCTACGTTTGTGTTAACTTTAATGCCGACAGCCGCTAAGTCGGCATTGACCAACGAACAATCTTTCCTGTGTTTGATCATCTGTTTGGCTTCAGCATTCGCTGACGCTCGCGACAGACTTGCAAGACGTGGTCCAGCTGACGACTGATTCAAATACGATGACAGGGCGGGTGTTATTAGCGGCCGTCCAGTCTTATGAAAGTGGTTGTAGGTTGCCGTGATTGACGCCCGATCTGATCCAGTCTCTCGATTTTTCCTAGCGTTGCGACCCAGCCGTGGTTCTATGAAATTAGTCGCCACCTCGGTTGATAACCCCATAGATTTTAAAAGTTGCTTCACAACAAATGAATGTCCAAACTTACTGGCCAGTTGTCGGCGTTGTTCAAGCGACGCTTTCTCCGCTGACAGTTGTTGAAGCAGGCGTTCCGTCTCGACCACTTCTTGGTCGATCTGAAGAGCACGTCTGTTTTTGTGGCATTCTAGAAAATGTAAATGTTTTTGTAACAGCTTGTCTTTCCCAGCTCGTTCGGTCGTGGATCTACGTTGGGAACTTTTCCTGGTAGCTTGCAGGATATCGTGACATTGCTGGTGCCGATTTCTCCACTGTGATGACTTTGGAACAATCTCGTGATCTGCCATATTGGAAAATCGTCAGATTCTTGCTTGTATCGATATTTCATTCACATAAAATGAAAGCAGCCACATACCACATACTAGTAGTCCATGCACTGCGGCGGTACTCGATTTTCAGGACAAATTGTTCGGCAAAACGCATGAATTCAAGTAAAGCGTTGTTAAGTTAACAAAGCCATGGTTTCCAACCACCGACTCGCTGTGTTTTGAAAGCAACGCTGTAAATCTTCCCCAATAGCAATGTGGTTGTCATAATCTAGCCCTCAGTATACCTTTCAATACTATAATCCGCCGACAAATACTGCACTAGAGGCAGACGTATGACGACTGTCAAAACATCTCAGCGACTGTTGGATGAAGACCAAACTTGTAATACAGTTCCCGGTCCGTAGTAATTATTTTGTAAATATAACAAGACACTTCGCGATGAGCGTCTTTTGCGGTCAGTAATATTTACGAACATTTGTGTTCACTATTGGCGATCCGTTCTGCTAGGATTGCCCTTAAAATCAATTTTGTGTTTCTGAGTGTGTGATTTCCGGTGTTTTCACGTATTAATTCTTCTGTGATTGTTTTGGCTTGGCCTATTTCCCTCAAACTTGACAGGCAGGTCACACCATCACCCTAGTTAGTTATTAGGTAAAATCTGAAGAAAAAAATTGGCCTATCGTTGCCATAGTAACAGCCAAAAAACTGGATAGCTTCGTGCTAAATGAATCTCCTCCTACAAATTTAGGATAAAACTCTTCAGACATAGCTCATTCTACTCAGCTCGAGTGTGGGCACTAAGTTAATATTTGAATTTTTGATATCTGTTTTCATTACCGACAAATTTGACTCTTCTGTGATTTTTTTGGTGGGCCGTTT